CCCCTGGTTGTCTCCTCTAATGCCCCCCTCCTCCTCTCACTTTGCTCTGCTAGGGTCTGCAGGGTCCACTGGGAAATGTTGGGGGCTCACAGGGCTCTCCAACCTTCCTTGTCCTTTAAACACACATAACTCCTGCACTCCCTGACCCCCCCTCCCCTCGAACACACACACACGCACACACACTATTCATCCGATCCTGATAGGGAGTCATTTGTGTGTGCTCGGGTGGCGATGGATGGAGCATGTAAAGTAGACATAGGGAAGTGGTTATGATCTGGGCTAATGAGCTCACAGGGGACTCTGGGATAGAGGAGGCCGGCCAGTGGCAGGCCTGCTTTGGATACACCCCTCTGGGGGGGGTCCCTGTTCCAGCCCGGTTGCCCCATGGGAATGTGTCAGTGTATGAGTGTGTACAGTATCTGTTTGAAACGGTCCCCGCGGTCATTACATACGCATTCTGCTGAGCTGGGTATTATTGCGCTCCATGGACACGGGTAGCATTTAGATGTCGAATCACATCGGTCATTAAGTCAAGGTCACCGCTGAGGGCGAAAACACGGAGGGACCCGCTGCTTTTTGGACTGCTATCGAACAAAAGACACCCTCCCTTGCAAGCCAGGCAGATCAAACTCATAGAAACTCAGTGACTGCGTCCGCGGTGACCGAACAGGTGTGCGCGCGTGTGTATCGCTGTGTCGTTTTGTGTGCGTCTCATTGCCATGCATGGTGTGTCAAGAGTTGTCCAGGAGGCTGAGCCGCCGCTCGCTGCTCGAGGGCACAGTTATAGATTACTGGCTGCAGCGGGCGGGGGGGGGGCCAGGGGAGCCGCCGGAGCCCAGACCCGAGAACGACAGGCCCCGGACGCGTCTCTCGGCTCATCAGCGTATCTCTCGAAGGCTGCGGAGCTTAACCTGGAGCAAGGCTCTGATTAACCGGGCTAATGACGGGGCAGCCCCCAGCTCCCACTGACCAACACCATAATCACTGCTTAAGGCCCCGGCCAGTCGGCGTGTGTGTATGGAGAGAGACAGAGAGAGAGAGAGAGAGAGAGAGAGAGAGAGAGAGTAGTGTCACAGCTTAATGGATAAGTCTACTGACAACAAGCATTTAAAGTCAGCTGTCGATACCAGCTTTTAGAGTCACTCGCATTGGCAGGGGAACGGCGTATAAAGAGGCTGAATCGACACGTTCAGACGCCCAATTCTTTTTTCCTGTGTTTGACAGTTGAACGTGTTCATGCGGCTGAGTTTGTGCGTGTAGCCGCGGAATGGCTGTGCGTGTGTGTGAAAGTGTGTGTAACCGCATTTGTAGGTGTTTAATAAGTGCTGATCGATGCCTTATCTCCAAAGTAAACATTTCCTCAGAACAGTGGACGGACTCAGCCTTGGGTACACAGAGGGAACCCCGACAGGCAAACTGCACAAAGCAAACGACACATGCAAATAAGACAAAGACAGATGTGTTTTTGTCCGTGTGCGACTCTTACAGACAACTTCCCAGTAAAGGAAACTAGCGTGCACCCGTGATGCAAGTTAAGTGTCTTTGTGGGTGCGAGGCCGGGAAGGGTGGCGGTGCAATTGCCCTGCAGCAAGAAAGAGCATCCAATGGTGTTCTTTGTCCTCTCTGAGTAAAGGGATTTCGGACAACTCCTAAATAAACCCTTGAGGGGGGGGGGGGGGGGGTGGGGGGGAAGCTACATCACACACCTGCTTTATGACTGTTTGTGTGTGTGTGGGAGAGTTACAGACTGACAGACAGAGGTAATAGCTTGCCGTTATAAGAGGGGGCGAGTCGATAAGTGATCTAGCGACTCTGCGATAGATAATGAGGTGAGAGGTGTCCAACGTTGAGTTCGGATGCCAAAACAAGACCAAACCTAACGGTTTATTTCTGTAGCTCAACGGTGAGCTATAAAAAGTACCCTTCTTGTACACATATTTGCCAGGTGGCAGATCATGATTAAAGCCTGACGATGTTGTTCTATCATGCTTATTATTATTATATATTATATTAAGCTTATATTCAAGCAATATGAATCTTTAAATATATATGATATGATTTTTTAGGCTTTATCCTATGAATTGACAAAGGGACGAGAGGTGGCAGATTACATGTGAATGTGTGAGATATTGGTTTGATGGCTCAGTCTTTAAAGTCTTCTGAGGTGGTTATTGACCCTGATTAATCCATCCACATCGCTGTTGATCTACATCTACATCCTTGGCTTACCTTGTGTGTCCGGACATATGATTGTGCGTCGCTGCAAGTGCGCCAGCCATACAATCGCACAGCTGATGGTTAAGCAGAAGACAGATCCAGGCGTGCACTCATACCAGCTGTGTTTTTGAAGGGATCCAGTGGCAATTGTTCTCCTGTCCCCAATCCATCTTTGTGGCCCAGGAGACATACCGCTGACATTTACCAGACCCCCCCCCCCCCCCCACACACACACACACTCTTCACCCTCTCCTCATCGCTTCTCTCGCACTATCCCCTTCTCTCCTGTCTCATTCTCTCTTTCACTATCTCCCACTTCTTCATGTACCTTGCTAACTCTCTCCTTCTGTCACTCCATCTATCTCTGTGGCATGATGTGCCAGGACAGATGTGCGTGGACAGGGGTCCGTGTATGTGTGTGTGTGTGTGTGTGAGACAGAATGAGTGTTTGTGGTAATGAGTGGCCCTTTAAGGCTATTAAGATAAGATTGCTACGCCCAGAGACCCTCATTACCCAGCAAGCATTGCCCCCTACACAGAATTGTAATTGGGAAGGAAAGAGAAAAGCGAGAGAGAGAGAGAGAGAGAGAGATGGGGGAGTGAGGGGGATGACTGGGGGGTGGGGGGGGTGGAGGACTAGGGGGACAGAGAGGCCGTCGGGTGTTGGAAGTGGAAATAATAGGAGGATAAGCGAGGGATAATTGGGTGGATCGAAAACAAGAGGAGCAATTGATCAGGTTGATTTGTTTCTGCAGAGAGGAAGGGTTAAAAAGCCACACACTCCTGTGTGTAAACACACACTGTGCAAAAGTATGATAGATTTGAACACATGTTTAGCATAGACGAGTGGATGCATGCATACAGCTCACACACATAGACATGCTACTCAATGTATGGAAACTCAGCGTAATCATGTGACAACATGACATTAGATTTTAAATTGTTGTGGGTGTTATAATACTTGTTACAACGTTCTGCTGTTATTTCTAAACATCCACAACCCATGTTGTCTGACAACAAAAATGAGAAAATATTTATATTGCTATTTTTTGTATCTGAATGTGTGCGGGTGAGAGGTTTTTGGATGTCAGGCAGCTGACAGTCATCATGTCTAATTACACTTTTAGTCTCTTTCAGATTGTGTTGCACCAGCATCACCTAGAGGATGCGGACAATCACAGCAGTTTCACAGCTTCACCTATTTCTCTGTCATCTACCGTCTCTGTAGTAGAAAGCAATGAAAGCAACTTTGTATATTAAACATGCTTTATTTGTGAATAAATCGGTGTGATGATACGTTTAATATGTTTTATGTATAAAACCAATTAAATATTGCTTATTTACGTACATTTACGAGTATCTTGTTATCAATATCAGATTGGGATGCTGATGCAAATTTAAATTCCTATGTTGTGTTTAGCTTTCACTGTTCTGGGTCAACCGTCAGACTGACTCATAACGTATCAAGTATTGAGGAGATTTGAGAATGATGATGACTGGACATGGTCCAAAAATATACTGTGAAAATAAATATATTTCCCTGTCAGCCTTATTTGTTCTCATGAATAAGAGGCGTTGATAAGTCTGTAATATTTATTTCTACAAGGGGAGAAGTAAACTCTATCATTGGCCACCAATGTTACTTATTCTGTTCACCTTTTCTGTATTTTTTCTGTATGCTCACAATTATTAGGTTATATGAGGAAGTGTTAATAACAATACACAGTATTGACTGACGTCCTTTTAACGATGTCTTTGCTCGTCCTTTTTCTTTTCCTGAAAGTAAAATGGGAAAGTTTATTAGACATATTTGTGTAACCTACAAGGCATTCCAAGGTTTTAGCAAGATACTGCTCTGCATGCCATAAAATACACGTGTATAGTTGCATTAGCAGAGACTTCCCAAGCAGATCCGAACATGATGCTCAAGCCGTGGCTTCATACCACCATCAAGTGGCAGGACTGTGTACAACCACAGAAGAAGACATGACGCACTGTAGTTGAAGTTCAAGGATGGTTAGATTCTGCTTTTTTGTCTTGTTCAGTTGAAGAAAAATGCATATTGAAGCAATTCTGTGAGTAAAGTCAGCAGTTGGAATGAGACGCACAGGGATGTTTTGGATGAAGTTTTCGAATTCAAGCTGAGCTCCACAATTTCATTCAAACAAGGCCTTCAGAGGTACAGCTCTCATTTTGGATCTGCAAATACACGTATTCTCAGTCCCGGATCTGGGCCATGTTTTCTTTGTCATCAACGATAATGCAGCAGAAATTAAGAATGTTTAAAGAAAAGCAATTGGTGATTAAAACATGTTTGTTATTGGCTGATTATAGTGATGTTAAGCAAACATATTTAGATTTAAAGCTGGATTCCTTGTAAAGAATGTTATACCTTGCAGTGTAGCAGACTTAAAACAGTAGAATTTAGTACATGAAATCTACAGAAAATACATTTCCACAAACAACTGACGATTTGTGAAGTCTTCATAACAAACTAGTAATTCATAGACTTCCTTTTTAGTGTCTTAAGAGTCTCCATCAGGAGACTAACATCCTAGACATGCTACTTTCCAAACCTTTGGTCCTTTTTCTTCGTTTGTCATGTACGCCTCTTTGCTCATCTGTGGCCCGACTTTGTGAGCATCATGGGACCCAGACTCCACCTCACTGAAAGATCCTCCTCTGATCACTATCCAAATCCCCAATTGATTGATCCCGATGGTGGCACGTGGCGCCTCCTCATTGGATGTTACCGTGATTGACTGGGAAGGGGAAGAGGGGGAGGCCGGAAGAAACCATTCATCCGGCCAATACTGCGAATGAAAAATACGCGATGATTATTGACTCCGGCCGGGACATCTAGACTTCGGATTTCAAAGAGGATTACGGGCCTATCAGAATTAGATGGTGCGATTACAATAATGGCTAATTTATGATCGGATTAGATACTTATTCACACGGTCATCGGCGCAGACCCCCCCCCATCCATCCTCCCCCACAACCTGCGAATAAACACCCGAACGGGCGATCGGGATGCGGCGCTTATTTCGGTGACGCTGTGATGTGTACCTGCGAAATCCAAACAACAATGAGGATCCGATTTGACTTCCAGTTGGATTAGTCGTTTCCTCGCTTTTATTTTATTTTATTTTTTATTTGACGTCATTTGGGCATGATTCTCGTGCGGAGCTTCGTGCAGCCATTGCTGCTGTTGCTCCACAGCAGATGGTTGGGGGTCGCACCGAGCCCCACCGACGAGGGAGCCCTGCGAGCCGGCCACGGGGAGCACGGAGAGCCGGGGCACAAGGAGCCCCACAAGGACTCCTACGGCACCTTCGCCTCCGAGTTCCTGGAGTCCAGATACCTGTCCGATGACGGTAAGGACCTAACGTGGGTTCAGACAGACTTGCACGTCTAACCGGAAATTGAACAAAAACTGTAAACAAAGAAAGTTTGGTTGTGCGTCCAACCTGCACTGTGCAGGGCCTTTCAGGACCCAGGCCAGTTCCCCGGTGGTAGCTGCCCCCCCTCCTCACACACACACACACACACACACAGAGTGCAGATGGCCTCCCCCTAGTTGCCCTTCTGGTTGTAATGAAAACAAACATGAAATGGTATTGTGTGGAACCAACACAGTGTGGATCTTGCATGTTGCAGGTTATCCGTTCCCCACCGCCCCACCAGTGGATCCCTTTGCCAAGATCAAAGTCGTCGACTGTGGAGTAACCAAAGGCTGCATCAGGTTAGACACGTCTTTCCCCTGCTCGCCCTTTCTGAGCAGAACTTCTGGTGACGCTTTTATTCCCAGAGGCCGTTTTATCCTCCATGCCCAAGCTCTGAAGCTAGAGCTGAACATATGTTGTATTTTATGTTGTATTTTAAACCCATAAGTAAAATGACCTTCAAGAAAGTGGCCCAGATTGGTCCTTCTGTTATCAAGAGTGTGAACATTGTGAATCTCATCTTTTCCAATGAAATATATTTGTCATGCCAAGGATTGGCGCCTTCAAAGTGATCGCATGTTTTCGGCGATGTACAGATATGGGAAGCCAGGCTGCGATGCTGAAACGTGTGACTACTTTCTGAGTTATCGCCGCATCGGGACAGATGTTGAGTACGAGATGAGTTCGGACACGGACGGCTGGGTGGCTGTAGGTTTTTCATCTGACAAGAAAATGGTGAGCAGCTGCACAACAACAACAGAGAGTGATTTAGAGCCCAACTTAATACACTTTTATATGTTGCTTCAGACCAAATGCACGGCCCATAATCTCTGATTAAATATGGTCGTGGTGAAAACGAAGCAACTTTTTCAGAGTTAACGGTCACTAACCAAACGAGTAACTACACAAAGGTTTACATTGAAGATTTTTATACCAAATGCAATCGCTCACTTTTTACATTGTTTTCTTTTTTGTCTTCTTTGGCCTAAAGTTAAACAGCCTTAACACACTGTATCCTACTATATAATACTTTTAATGAAATCCTTCTAAGGCACGTGAGTGATTACAAGTTATTTATTGGAAAGATACACAAAATTAGATTAACCGTCCTCCCATTTCATCACTGCCGTTTTATTTGGAAACATTGGCTACTTTCTTTAACGGGGTCACTTTTTCAAACATAAGCTGAAAATGAAAAGTCAGTCTTTGGTTAAACGTGTCACAACTTGTGTTGATAGTGAAGCCATGATGATCGCAAGAAAGCATTTTTCAATTTTAGGGTTCACACATCTAACGGTTTGAGAATCATTGGTTTAATGTGTTTACACAAAATAGAATAAATAATAAATAAAATCGACGCAAGAACAACAGTTGCCTGTCTTTATGTATAAGCACTGGGATTGACAACAATATAAAGAAAAACTAGTTGTAGATAAAAGATGATCTCGGGTGACTCTAGTGTCATTGAGTGAAAGTCCTGTGGCATGAAACAATTTAGCTTACTACACAATCATAAGCAGTAACTTTTTATATTTTGTGGCAGAATTAAACCATGTGTACATTTCTCTCATAGCGTTTCATCCCCTCGTGTTTCCTCAGGGAGGAGACGATGTCATGGGCTGTGTCCACGACGATAACGGACGTGTGCGGATTCATCACTTCTACAATGTCGGCCAGTGGGCCAAAGAAATAAAAAGAAACCCTGCAAGAGACGAAGAGGGCGTCTTCGAGAACAACCGGGTGACGTGTCGGTTTAAACGGCCTTTATATGTCCCCAGGGAGGAAACGCTTGTGGACTTGCACCTTTCGTGGTATTACCTGTTTGCTTGGGGACCTGCCATACAAGGTGACCGATCAAGCGTCAGCGTCAAGTCGACTGTCTTTTTGCTTTCCTTTTTTTTGCTGTTCGTCTCGTCTTACGGTCGCCTTGCCTTTTTCCGACAGGTTCCATCACGAGGCATGACATCGACAATCCGCCCGTCAGTGACCACATGATCAGCATCTATAAGTACGAGGACATCTTCATGCCTTCTACGGCCTACCAGACCTTCAACTCTCCCCTCTGCTTACTGCTCATAGTGGCCCTCACCTTCTACTTACTGATGGGAACGCCGTAGTGAAGCACAGCGGAGCACATTGTGCACAAGAGAGCAAAGAGAGAAACAGCAATAAATAAGTTGTGCAGAGACATTATAAAATATATTAAACACAATAAACAGTATACTGCTTGCACCATAGGGTTACGCTGAACTCATATAGATAATGACAAACAAATAATGACCAGAGCAGTGTTATATTAAAGATAGGCCAGTTATTTTCAGAATTCATCATTGCTTCCAAGTATTTCAAATATATGAGAATTACACATGTTAATACGTAAATCCCACAATTCTTTGAAATACTGCATGCACAGGGTTGTCGATATATGTTGAACAGAAGGGTTTTCAGAGGACAGAAGAAAACGAGCAGTTCTCAGCCGCTTGCACAAACACTGTCTCTTCCTTGTTTGTTGTTTGTACAAGTTCACCATCTAAAATATGTTTTTCCCATGTTTGGCTCAACTTTCACATCATTGCGTTTCAGGATCCACCCCCTATTTCTCAACCAAAGCGTCGGTTGGGTGAGTTTATTAATGCTGGGAAACTGCGACTATGCTTTAAAGACACAGAGGCTGCTAAGGAGTTAATGTTGCAAGCAATAACACACTTTAGCAAACTGTGGATGGAACCGTTTGATGGACATGGACTCATTTGCCCCCCCCCCAAAATCCCTGAGGCCGTCGCTGTAGCCTTTTAACCTGTATGAAAAAATGGCATGGATACGTTAAAACACCCCCAGCTGAAATAATCTTTTGTGGTTGTATTTATTATCGATAAAACAAACGAATCAAAGTCAAACAGCATCATGCCATAGGAGATTCTCTTTAATAGAATTTAGAAATGATAATATTCAAGTACCATTGAGGACACGAAAAAGGCAGCGGTTTTAGCAACATGTAAGTGTTAGTGAAGAAATGTTGATGTATAAAAAGTCTTCCAGGGTAACAATCACTGAGTAGCGGCAACATTTATTGAAAAAAAATGAATAAAACATTTTAAAAAGAGATGTAATAAATAGGAACTGATTAAAGATTTTTTTTTTTTTTTGGAAAATCCCAAAACAAAATTTGAATCATTCATGCCTTAGACAGAAAAAAGTTGTTATATGAGTAATTGAAAAAAAACAATGTTATATTTTAGTAATTCAAATCAAGATTTTGTAATATATAGCATAAGATGACGCAGCAGAAAGGTTGGTATTTGGAAGTGGGCGATTTAAAAATACATGGAGAGAGCGTGGTATGGAAATATTTAATGAAAATGTCAGAGGTTCCACAAAGAGGTGGAAGTTAGTCTCATAGTGAATGATGAATGAGGTCATAAAGAAATGAAATGACTTTTAAGGTTTTGAATAGTACAAAATAATTCAAGCAGTAGTAGAAAGAAAAGCCAGAATATAATATTGGAGGCATTGTTGCCAATATTGTAAAATTGCAGACTGTTAGCTGATGATGATGATGAAACATGGCAGATTTATTATTCATCTTTTATTCAGGTCAGATGATGGTTTAGGTGTAAGTGAAGCAAACAAATAATGGTTTATAAGAGATGAAGATGCTCCATCCACTACGGCGGAAGGTGAACGGTTATGAGATTATATGTGAGGCGGAACACTGTCAACAACATTTTTCTTTATTTTGTCAGAAGAACGATTTACTGAGAAAAGTTTTTAAAAAATGGAGCGAGGGGGAGTGGAGAGGAAATACTATACGAAACACATCCTATTAAACAATGCTGGAACCTTCACTTTACAGTAATTCGGGTCAACAAGACTAATGAAAATAATTGGATAATTTTTCCATAATTATTTGGTTCCATTTGTTTGCTCAGTAGCTTTGCTGCTAAAATTAGATTCCGGACGTCTCCTCCACTCTCCAGATGACTTGGTGGCAGTAAAGCACCACAAACCGTTTAACTGACCGCCATTAAAAAAAAACAAAAAAAAAACAGTAGAAGAAGAAAGTGGCAAAAACACCGGGGCGGAATCAACATGGCAGACGAGGAGCAACCGACGCCGCAGCCCGCTCGCGCCTCTCCCACCAAGCGGCCTCGCTCCGTCTTTTTCCCCGAGGGCGCGCAGCCGGCCGTCGGCATGGTGAGCCAGCTGCTCGGGCAGCCGTCGTCGCTGAAGTTCGACAAAAACATCAAGCAGGCCTTCTACAACACGGGGGCCATGATCTTCGTGGCGATCTGCTGCGGAGCCTCGGTCCTGGTCTACTTCATCCTGGAGGCCTTCCTGCGCCCGCTGCTCTGGGCGGTGCTCTGCGGCACCTTCCTGCACCCGTTCAAGCACTCGCTGGCCCGGCTCGGCCGCTCGTGGCTCAACGGCCTGCAGGACACCGGCACCCCCATCGTGGTGGGGACCCTGCTGGTGCCCGTGTGGTGCCTGAACCACGGGGTGGAGGCGATGGGGAGGGTGGTGCTCGAGAGGCTCACGCCGCTGCTGGTCATCGGGGCCGGGGCGCCGCTGGTCTACTTCCTCTACCTGTTCTGGAGCGCCGTCGGCATGCAGGTGATCCTCGGGCACGTCTGCGGGATCATCGGGGCCGCGCTGGACTACTTCCACACCGTGTGGGTGAGTGGGTGGAGCGCCTCTGTCAACTGCCCCCTTGTACCCCAGTATATGATTTTTTAAATTATTTTTATTATTTTTATTTTTCTTTGTGTACAAATAGTAACATTTTTTTTCTCTTTTACACATGTTCGAAAAATACATATAAAAATAAAAATAAAATAAATTGAGTTTATTTATTTATTGGTTGTTTAGACGATTAGCAATAGTCAATAAGTAATAATAATACATTTAAAGGATTGGCGTTGCTGAGAAATCGCTGCAAATAGTTTACGTTTCCTTGAAATGTGTCTCACAATTGGTTCTATCTTGTATCTTCGGTAATCACATTTCGTGCAGTTTCAGCGCGATCGATCAATACCTCATTAATCCTAAGCAGCTGCAGGGGCCCGAGTCCAGCTACGCTTTGACTGGATACAAATTGTATTAAATGTTCCTCCTCACATGGTCTGTCCTTTCTCACACAGGGGCCCTTGTCCAAGAATAGAATGAGGCCACGGTATTAAATTACATCGAGAAACGTCTTTGTGTAGTGAAATAGGTGAAGACCTGTGTGCGCAGCTGTTACACACTGCGGCATCACATTTCATACTTTACCTGCCAAACAGCAGCAGCTTATCTGTTGGTTAACAGCAGTCTGGGAAGTATTTTATTATTATAACACTACATGTTGACCCAAACATCCCCTCTGAACTGAAGGGCAAGTATTTATTATAAACACTAACAGAATTGAAACAAAAAACGAGATTGACCTTTTTGGTGTGACGGTACATTTGTCACATGTTGCCCCTCTGCTTCTTGTTTCCTCTCAGGTGTGCACGCTGGTGGTTGGCTACCTGTTGCTAGTCTGTTTCAGGTGGGGCCCTCACACTGAGCACTACCTGAGGGCCGTGGCTCTTCCCGTCTGGGCCATTTTTCTCTTCTACGTTGGTGAGTGTCGGAGAGGCTGCTCAGACATGCTGTCTGTCATTCCAAGCTTTTATTCAAAGTCCCCGTCTCCCCGTTGGAAGATTTCTTCTAATGTCGCCTACTTGCTGAGTAGTAGTCGGAAAAGACATTTTGTTTTTCCAGAAGTGAGATACAAGAGAAGAGCAGACAGACAGAGCACGTGCAGAGTTGCAAAGTAAGACGATAAAGTCGTCAGTATTTTTAGCACACATAAGGCGTGCCGAAAAGAGCAGTCGACCTTCCAGTGCCAAATGTTAAAAGTGACCGAGCGCTATCGAGAACACGTTCTGTTTTTCATATCACTGCGCACGTCTGGTCGACGTTATCACTGCGATTAATATATTTTACACAATTTTACGGCTGAATGTAGTCTTCAGCTGACACAAGGATTAATATCGGTGCCCAGAAATAAAAAGTAATGAATCCAAGTATCATGCAGTTGAACAGCAAAGCGATAAAATGCATAGTTGATTTCTACATCTCTTTGTTTTTTTGTAGTGTCTCTGACCGGCTCGTGGAGAGTTCCCTTTTTTGTGGTTGTGGTCGTTCTCATCATTGTGGGCTCCCAAGAGAAACCACCTGATCCCGGCAGAGGTGAATACTCATCGGTTTACATGTGTCACAGTATGTATGTATGTATGTATGTATGTGTGTGTATACATATATATAGTGGTGGTAAATGGGTTTTGTATGAATGAAACAATTTAAATGTGTTGATTTATAGTCGTGAGAGGTGTTTGTGCAGTAGGTGCACGTCGTTGCCTTTATGTAACCGTTATGTCTGCGTATTTACTGTGTAATCGTCAATCTGGCTGTCAGCAAAAAACCCCAAAACAAGTTCCTGAAACGATTGCTTTAAAAGTTAAGGGGGTTTAAATCATTTAAAATGAACTCTTGCTCCGCCGGCTGCTCAACGAGATTCTTTCAAAAGTGGAACAACCCTCCTTCCAGACAATTTTCCTCCTCTGTTGTTCAAGCTCAACCAGTTTGCAGGTGTGATCCAGTATCTTGATACGACACGAGCAGGTGATCAGTTATTCCCTGAATGAGGACCGCTTGGACCACGAGACAATGCAGGATACATAAAAAACCTGTTTAATGCTCATGCAGTTTTGTGTCCCCCCCCCCTCCCCAGGAGAGCTGTCGGGGCAGGTTTTGTCTTTTGCTGCTAATACTTTTTACATGGCGATCTCGTGTAGCAACCTCCAGATGAAAACTGGGCCGAGTGAAACCTCGACTCCAGGTAAGAAGACTCCAAATCTGTCCATCACACCGGTTATGCACGATCTATTAACCCAGAAAAAACTTACTACATGGCTACTCACTGGAGAAATCAATCATTTGGCACCAAACATTTGACACGGTCCACATTGCTTTGCCTCCAGTAGCTTTTAGAGGAACTGCGGTTCGAGGCGCTTCTGTTTTAGCTTCACTGCCGTTCGAAAGACACATTCACACCCTTTTTGCTTCTGTCTTTTTCTTCCTCTATGCGCTTCCTCTGTGGCAACTCCTCAATGTCCTTCAAGGCGGCGCGCCGTCCGCGGGCCCCCTTCCCGCCACGCCCGGGCTCCCCCGCGGCTTTCGCTCGCTGCCAACCGGCCTCTTCCAGAACGAGAAGAGCGCCCAGCGAGCCAGCGACATCTACTTCATTCTACTCCTGTGGGCCATTGTACTGGTTCAAGTCTGGCTCAACCTCTGGATCCTCCAGCTGCTGCCTATCCCCGTGGCCGGTACACAAAACGCCGTTCACCGCGCTGATCGCTCTGCTGCGCGCGGATCTACAGTGTCCTTTCTGCTTCAGTGTGGGTGCTGAAGAAGCTGGTGGTCCGCTTCGGCCTGAAGGGCTTCGCGGAGCGGACCGTGGTGTCCTGGTGGGCCGTGCTGGAGAAGCTCGGACGTGAGCGAGAGGGGGCCCTGCTGCCCGGGCCGATCAAAGGCTTGGCTCAGTTCCTGCTGCGTATCGACACGAAGGTAACGTGCCCGACTGTTCTCCAGGTGCCGGCGGCACAGGCGCTGTCCTCACTTCCTCTTCCTTTGTGATTTCACAAACAAACACACACCTTTTCTGCTCCAAGTTTATAATTAGCACTACGGTCAGACGGGCTTCGCTCATCGCGTGGCATCTTTTCCTGACTTCCTGATCTTTTGTGTTGCAGCCGTCCTCCAGGACATTTGCATATATGTAAATACCCCCAGATACAACAAACAAAACATGAAACCAGATATTTGTTTTGACTCTTGACGCTGCGAAGGAGAAAGTAGCACGCAATAAACCAACCAACTGGGCTTTGGTGCTTATTTCTCAGACGCTCAGATGCTCTTTGATTTTGGTCAAAGCCGATTGCGATGTACCAATAAATATTAAGCGCATCACCGACTCTGCAGTTCACCTCGGTTCTGCATAACGTCCATCGGCTGTTTGGATCCATCCACAACTTTACAGCGGACAGACAAAGTTAGCAACCAGCTGGTGAACAAACATCAGAACCATTTCCGGTTGTAGTTACGATGTTTGTTCATCATCCCAATGATTTGCATCCCACTGTGCCACTTCCTGATGCCCCCCCCCCCCCCCCCCAGGCCCGAACCCAAAGAGTTGGTAACAGGGGCACATGTGATAACCGCTGCACAGGTCTGTCCACAAAATAATCTTCCCAATGTCTCTCTGTCTCCTCCCCAAGCTCTGGCATTGGCTTAACAAGCAGGTAATGATTCGGAGCAGCGCAGCGCCGAGAGAAAGAGAGACAGGGAGCGTGCATGAAAGCGAGAGGAGACCTCCTTGTTTACGTGTGTGTGTGTGTGTGTGTGAGCACAAGCTTGGACTGGCGCTTTACCCATCCACTCCCACCACCCCTCCATCCTGTCCACACGTCTTCCACACTTGCTTTCCTGAGTCATGCTTTTATTTGACAGGAAGCTACGCCTGGGGAGGGGCGGGGGGGGACTCTTTGGTCCCTCTGCCTCATTCGTACCTTCCTGCTGCGGTGGAGCCGGGGGGCTTCTGCCTGAGTGTGTGAGTGTGTGTGGGGGCTGCATGGAGAGGCGGAGCAGGGCAGAGCGTTAGGAGAGGGCAGCGTTTCTGATTCTTACTGTTTGTTGACTGAAACGGGAGATGTGTTTTTTATGGAGATCAAGAAGAAACACTTTCCACAGATCCTGTGGAGAGGTTAGATTTCTTTTTGACATTTTATGGGGGAGAGAGGGGGTGGACAAAACAATGGAAACACCGTTTGTCAATATGAAGTAGCACTAAATAAAAAGTAACATGGGCAAACGTATACAAAGAGCTTTTTCTTTGTTGTACTGCTACATGACACAGGAACTTGTTTGTATTTGGTAGCACATTACACACTTTTAAGGGACAAATGATATTTTGGAGATTCTGGAAAAAAAAGTTTTGTATCTTAATCAGAACAAAACCCAAACTGTAAAGAAATATAACAAGTATTGAGAGACAGGCCAACAGACATGTTGTTGTTTTTTATTGTTCGCCTTATGCAGATTTATTACGTTTGAGACCTGATGACTTTAAAGATGGATGCCTGAGTATCTTACCTGAACATAAACTTAGTTAGGTGCAAGGAAAATGGTGAAACGGGTCATTAGACCCTTTTAACGGTAAATTGTGCTTGTTTGTAATTGTACATTGGCTCTGGGAATTTAGGGCCAATGGTGGAGCACAGAAAGTTGTGTTTTTGTTGAGACCACGAGGTGTTTGGGTGCAATGTTGAGATCTGTGAATACAGCTGTGTTCATTTATCTACATTTTCATTATATTTACGGTGCCTTTTTGCTGTATTGTAACTGCAATGCTGACTGTGTGGCCTCTCTGAAATGGTGTTAGTGGTCTTGTATTGCATTCAGTGATGGGATTTTTTCTAATTGGTAATCCACTAAAATGCGTAGTTATGTGCCTGAGTTAGTTATTTTAAAATCAAAGTCCTCTCTGACGTGGTGTTTCCATTTTTTTGTTTTTTTTGCTTTACTGGATCCACATCAGTCCCCCTGCAGAGTGCCATTTGTCGAGTAAAACCACATTCTTAGATGGAGGGTCAACGGTCGCCAACTACAACCATCGCTTTATTCTACAATTCACTTTGAAATACCGGATGGGCTTGCAACAATTTATGAAATAAAAGACACTGGATGTCTTGCATTCAGAGCACACGGCCGGTAGTTTTTCACTTTGCATGTTTCAGTGCAAGGATGCGTGCATGCTCTCCAGCTATCCTGGCTCACTCACTCAATGACCTCGCTTCTCTCAGGGCCCAAGCAGGCAGCGTTTAGATCCACAGTGGCTTCTTCCCCCGGGGGACGGACACAGGTGTCTCCACGTCTCTGATCACTATGTGTTTCTGGGCCTTCTTCAGACGTCTGCTCACTATCTACCCCCCCCTCCCTTTTTTTCTTCCATATCTTCTTGTCTGCGTAGATGATTGTGTGGTTGGAGCGATCTCTGGATAAAATCATCAGCATCTTCATCATCTTCCTCCTGGTCACGGGGACCCTGCTCATGGCTCTGCTGCTCACCGCTATGGTACCACTGCATTTGTTTTTTTCTTTTTGAATTACTTCACTGCACTTCAGAGGCACGGACCGCGGCAAAGTGACTTCTATCCTTCCAGGTTCACCACGAAAGTGTTCACATCATCGACGTAACCAGCAACCTCATCAACGAGACCGTGTCCAACCACCCGGAATGGGCAAAGTACGAACGTTTTTTGTTGTTTTTTTGGTCTTTTGCTTTCGTGTTGGTCATTTCTTTGCACATCCCCTTCCTCTAGTTGGCTTCCTGAGGCTCGTGTGGTGCAGAAGGCTCTCAATTCAGCTGCTACGAACGTTCATCAACACGGTAGAGAGTGGATAACACAAAAGGTAAGATTAACGATTGCTCGTATACTGTTTTCCATTTATATCTCTCACTCAATAAGGAGGAAAGGAAAAATCTTTTGTGCAGCTCCAAAAGATGTTGGGGGATAAGGTGAACAACACAGCTGTGATCGAGAAACAGGTGTTGGAGCTCTGGGACCGATTATACCACTCCTGGTTTGTGAAGGTCAGTCGAGTCCATCTAACCTCTTCATGTCTGGGAGGGATTTATCCTTTTTTTTTAAGTTCCCGAGCTAAAACCATTCCCTGCATCTCCCAGAACATGACTCACCCTGGACGGCTGCGCGGCCAGAAGATGATGGTGCAGAGGGGAAACAGCTGGCTGGGCGAAATCCTTGACTGGAAGGACATTGCTTCCTTCCTGCAGGAGAATATTCAGACTCTGCTGTCCGTAAGTATGACCGTGTTTGACGAATACATTTTGCTTTCATGGATCTGTCGGCCTATAATTGTTTAATCGGGCTGTTACAGGGTTTGTTTTGTGCTTTGTCTCAAATATTATGTGTCCAACAAGGATTGGTTTTGATGAAACGTGTGGCCCTGATAGATGGACGATTTTTTAACTTTGTTGTAACGCCAAATGTAGACCTATTTCGAACTCAAGTGGCCGCGTAGTTCTTGTGTGGATGACACTGTCACTGTCGCCCTGTTGTTTGTTTAAAGATCGTGGAGTCCTTGTGGGTGGTAATGAGTAGAAATGTGGGCCTGCTCATCTCCACCACGACGACTCTCCTCACCGTCTTGTTCCACAGCGGCACAGCGCTGCTCAACTTTGTCCTGAGTCTGGTACGCAGCACTAAACCATCCCACACAACGTTACCGTGGCTGCCTTTGGTTTAAGGACATTTATTCATTTGCAATAAATCTGGCAAACATTCCCACTGAAAGAAAGTTTGAATTAGAAAATGTGTCCATACTTTTGACTGGTGCTACATATGCATTCACAATCTGGGTAGCGCAGCTAAAATGCTTTTATTCAGCCCTTAATAGTCACTTGGAGATGTGGCGAGCTCTTAATGGAGCCGTTGTTTGTTGTTTTCATGCGCAGGTCATTTTCCTCACCACTCTCTTCTACCTGTTGAGCTCCAGTGGTGAATATTACAAGCCTGTTAAGTGGGTGATCAGCTTGACGCCCCTCTCCCAGCCTGGACCCTCCTCAAATATCATCGGCCAGTCCGTGGAAGAAGCCATCAGGTACCCACACACACACTAAAACTATTCAGACGGTCTAAGCGGCTGCGTGAAATGACATCATTTTTGACCGTTTGTGACGTTTTTCAAGAGGAGTGTTTGACGCCTCTCTGAAAATGGCCGGTTTCTACGGCTTCTACACCTGGCTCACTCACACCATGTTTGGCATCAGCATAGTCTTCATTCCTTCTGGTGAGTCGCCGTCCGCGTGCTGTTACTTCGCCCGCTGAGCCACATTCCGTGTCTGTTTTTTTTCTCACTCGTCCAACCCTTCTCCCCCAACCTGAAGCTCTGGCCTCCATCTTGGGCGCGGTACCGTTCCTGGGAACCTACTGGGCCGCCGTGCCGGCGGTGTGTGACCTGTGGTTGGTGCAGGGCGAAGGTGTCAAGGCCCTGCTGCTGCTGATCTGCCACCTGCTGCCAACGTACTTTGTAGATACAGCGATCTACTCTGACATATCCGGGTGCGTGCGGATGACCGTTACTACAAGCGAGCGTGTTTGATGTTTGGGTTTCCCCTGTGTGGACGGAGTTAAAGACAAACGACAAACTGCCTGGTTGGTTCCTAAATGGGGCTTTCGAAGGGAACCGTTCTGTTAAATGTACTGACAGTGTGTCTGTTTTAGAAGTGATCATCTGTTTTATACATAATGAAAACCAGACCGCTGTCCTCATAATGACGGCTGTTATTTTCCGCTCAGCCTGTTTCCCTCTTGAATCGTGTTTCCTGCAGCGCTTCATGGTCCGACCTTAATTCAATCCTGGCTTAAGGAAAGGGGGAGAAATAATTCATAATTTTACATCACTGTGTTGATTTTCTCTGTGACAATAATCACTTTGGATAGTTTGTAAATGACTGGTAAAGACTGCCAGAAAGCTATGTTTTAATGTCTACATCGAACGGTAATAAAGAAAAAGTTCACTTCTTCAATATGATTCAAGTCTGAAAAGGTTTTGTGATGCTTTTAGAATAAACATTATGATTTCTATTCGGCACGTTCTTAATGTTCATCTGTTTTCTCGTGCTTGTCTCAGGGGTGGACACCCGTATCTGACGGGCCTGGCGGTGGCGGGCGGCGCATACTATCTAGGTCTGGAGGGCGCCATCATCGGGCCCATCCTCCTCTGCATTCTGGTAGTTGCAGCCAACATCTACAGTGCCATGCTGATGAGCCCCAGCTCTGCAGCGCCGACCCCGGTGCACTCCACCTGGCCGCTCAACCAAATCAGGTACGGCCCAAATCTGAGCCGCCTTCATAGAGCTGATGACAAAGGCAGACACACTGAACCGTTGTCGCTTGGTCACCCTTAGGACCCTCAACGACTCCACCCCCACTGTCCTGAAAAAGAGTGGTGAGTGAGAGCTTATTGGCTGTTTCCTCACGAGGAAGTGATCCCCATCCCCCGAAGCCCCGCCCTGCGCCACCCGGCTCTACAGAGCTCTGCGCCTAGACAGAGAAGAGACGACGACGACGACGACGGCGGCGCGGCTTCGTCCCCCGTGACGCTGTACGATGGCCAGAGCGGTTTGTCTGAGCGGCTTGGCTGCAGCGCCCCTCATTCAGGACCCTAAATGGGCCGCGGCGAGTGTTCATCCCGACCCCTGACACAGACCGCTGATATTACAACAAAGCAAGACCGTGATGAGTGACGGAGATGTGGAGGCCGAGCACATTATCCCTCAGAACTCTAGCGCCTGAATTGAGTTTTTCTGTTTAAAGAAGGTTTTGTGATGAACTGTACACATAATATATGTATATTATTTACACACAGATTTATTTATATATTTATTTATATACTTTTAACATTGAATTTGAAGAGAAAAGGAGTGTTTTATGCCAATAAAATACACACAACAGATGGACCCTCATATCGACGATGCCCCCCGATTTCCACCTTGCTTACCGTGGCTGTGTTTTACGTCACATTGTGCGGCTGTGCATTCATTGTCTCCCCTATTTTTCTCTCCTGTGCAGAGGCTCAAATGCCGTTTGACTGGAAGGCCACTTAAGAGAAGCAGTGCAGTTTAACTTAATGTGTCATTCAGGCTGCCGTGATCGGGAAAGCACCGCCTCTAAATGTTTTTACATGTGCACATGCAACTAACCTTTACATGTCTAACATGCTTAGCTGCTCTGTCCGAATTGAAGCATGTTTACACTTGACTGTGATGTATTTCAGTGAGCACTTTGGAGTTCGCTGAAGGTCACCCCCATCACGCGATTTCATCCTAGTTTATCTGTTGTCAAATGCCTGAATAATTTCTCCTCCCGCCCTCTTCACTTAAACTACAGCGAGAGCACTTTTCTAAGCGATGGGTATAAAGTTTTTAACAGCACCGGAACCGTTAATAACCGAGCGATACAGATGAATAGTGTATCAACACACTTATTGTGCATCCGTGGCTACTGTGTTCGCTGTCTGAAGAAGCTATGATGTGTTCTGGCTGAGAACGTGTTTAGTTTAGCAACGGTTGGCATGTGCAATTAATTACTGCAGTTTGTTTGATACTTTTGCTATTTTCTTTTTTTTTAATAAACATATTCGCAATAAATGGAATCACTACAATAGATTTTCGGGGGATTCTTATTGCTCATTCTATACTCTACATCGTTGGGTAGTTTAGTACAGAAGTGCTGGCGTTAATGTGCAGGCTTGCTTTCAATGATGATCTCTGTTGTCCTTAACTTATCCTGTCAAGGTTTATTACATCATCAAAAGTAATAGTAAGGCATGTCATAACCAGTAATGACAAAAGTCCCAGTAAAGTGATACATTTTTAAATGTTAAAAACACCTCACTTTACTGTACCTATAATAGTATTAAATGTGTACACTATGGGGAAAAAGACATTGTATAGTAGGCCATAACAAGCCAGTGAGTCATCCTAAAGTAATCAAAGGTCAAAGTGCAATGTCATACAGTCCTAATCGAGTACCTTAACTGCTGCAGAAAAAGATTTTAAACCCGTTGTTCTGCTGGTACCAGTTTAGAAACTGTCATCACAACCCAACTGCCTAAAGAAAAGCATATTTGTGAAATGTCCCTTTAACTAGCGGCCCCTCGTGGCTCACTGCCCCACAGAGGAGGATTTAACCGACAACACAAAGCAGGATCTAACTTTCTGTTCTGTGAGATCTTTACAGATCGTCGAGGTGTCGGCGGGCACAATAAATATCAAACACACGGAAAGCTGCAGCCTCTCAAGTCACGTTATAAACATGGTATTCAGATTAGCAACATTTCAGACTCACAAGATCTAGAATATGTCAATCTCTACAGGCTAATATTTAGCAATGAAGTACTTTATTTTCAACTCCAGTCTATTTGACCTGCGTTCCTTTTAATGTTAATTGAATTCATAGGCGGACAGAAGAAATGGAGCAGCAAAGGACCACAAAGCTTCACGGGGATGATAATGCTGCTCACTGTCGCAGGTTCACACATCCAAGGCTTCTATAAGCTTCTACAATACTGCGCGGACGTGGTTAACGTAACTGTTTGTCTAAAATGCATTTCCTCAATATGTCCTTCCGAGGTAACATGTCTTCTGTCAAACCAAAAAAATTCATGAATTATCGGTTAAAACCTTATTCTTACAAAAATATTCCTACTCATTATTGGTACACAATAACCTAATAGTTTGCAAAGTAATAACTGCAGAGAGTAACAATGTTACTGTTACATTATCAAAAGTTTAGGAATTTTCTCTGAGACTTTCAATAGAACCAGCAAAAATTCAACATCCGTCTCAGTTGGAAAAAAAGGATTTAGTGCAGCTTCTGGTTGTGTAATATGACACTGGTTTCACAAACAACGATCAATAAAATAAGAAAACCCAATTAGATGGACACACATCTGAGTCTCCAAATCCGTCTGTTCCTCTGAACATGCTTCAATATTCCGTCTTTTCTTAGAAGTTTCCCTGCGGGCTGCAGTCGGATTGGGCTCTGACCCATTTCTTCACATCAAAGACTCCGGATAGTTCTTCTGAAGTCTGCAGCTCAAAAACCAGTGAGATGCTTCTTGTCTGATGTACACAACCAAATAGTTTCCATAAAGGAGCAGGAAGGAGACAAACTGAAGATCGACCTTTTGACATTGGGCTTCTAAAATGTGAGACCCTGACATACATTTTACAGGTCTAACTTTCGCTAAAATGAACGTGAAACACATTTGTCCACCGTGTCTTCCTGACGAGTCTCTGTGGCACTAAATCATAATTCAAAACTTGTTCATGAATGGGAGGCAAATTCACCTTAACCATTAACCACCAGAAACATGAGTACATATTTTAGTCCACGTTGAGGTTTGTGCCAGATTTAAGGAGATTCCCTTCAGGAGTTCCTGAGATGTTGTGCTCATGAGAACAGAAAGAAGACATGATGCAGCCAGCTGTATCGCCCACACAGAGACAAGACTATTTCAGAATGATTCATGAGCAAGGAAATGCAGTTTGTCAGGACACACACACACACACACACACACACACACACACACACACACACACACACACACAGCCAAATGTTGGTGAGAAACACTGAATGGCAACACACCTTTCGTTTGTTCAAAAATAAAATGTAGAGAAGGTTTGTGTATTATTGTATTATTATTATTATTATGTGTGTACAGACAAACAGGCAGAAAATAACACTTTTCCTCGTATTGTTCTGTAAACTTTTCCACCTTTATTTTCTACATTTGGATCAGCTCAGTGTGGAAACCTGGGACATGTCAGTTAACTTCAAACCCCGCCCACCCCCAAAATATCAAATCAACCGTTACCATTCCCCTTTCACTCAATCCCCCAAAAAACCCATGAACATCTTCCACGACGGGCTTCTCTCACCCTCGTGTCCACAACATGATCGAGCAGTGTCCTATGTGTAAACCCCCCCCCCCCCCTGAAGGAGCCCAAATGGTTAAAACCGTTCATGAAATCACCCAGTGACCCCGAAACTAACGAAAAGGTTGAAATGAAAACGACGCGCTGACGCAACCCTCACCGAGATATGTCTGGTGGAATACTGCATGTGAGCTTGCACAGGGAGATATGTAGCGATGGATTAAGATATGTCTCCTGCTGTTTCGCCCTTTGTAATCCATGGTTCATATCTTCACCTCCGCTCTCTGCGGACTATCGTTCCGTCCCTGATTAAGTCTCCAACATCACATCGATGCACCGTCTCGGGTATTGTCACAGCGGCTTCCTTTACTCCCCTGGATATGTGCTCCGGAGAGCAGAGACACTTGGTTCTGTTGAAAAGAAGCTAAAAAGAAGGAGAAAAATAAGCAGCTTTTACGCTCTTCTGTCCAAACAGACGCAGGGGCACACTGATCTGACGTCAGTGTACGCTGGTCCACTGTGTGTCCAACAGCGAGGGATCTCTCATCTGTTTGTCCTAGTAAACAGGGAGCTGTTGGACTGGGGATTAGTGCTGAACACACACACGCACGCACACATGCGCGTACACACACACTCCACTGGAGGAAAGAGGCCCTTGGAGTGAATCTTTCTTTAAGAGGTCATTGAGAAGATATGACAATGGATTAAAGTATCTGGTGAAGCCTTATTTCTATTTGTATACGGGATGTGTGTGGAAATATCCAGTGCCTTATGAGAGTCTCCTATAGTTTAACACTACATTAGGCAGCGAATATCAGGTACATATGCAGACCTGTGTGTGTGTGTGTCTATATTAGCTCTATGTTAAACATCCTTAAAGACAACAGAGACGGACAGGCAGACTAGGGTTACTGCTCTGTGGCACCCTCACAGGGCCGTAGGCGCAGACACAGCAGTGTAAAAAGTCAACATAGAAACCTCAAGATATCACAAACATCATATTTCTATCTCTAGATCTCTGCGGATGGCAGACATCGGGTCAGCGCGTTCAATCCTCTCGTCATTTCATGTGCAGGCCGGTGGAAACTTCTCAGCCCGGAGACTTAGTCTTTAGAATGAGGTGCCCGGGAGTAACACCAGAGGGAGACATACACTGCCGCAAGGCAGTAGGAGGGGCTCTGACACACACACACACACACACACACACACACACACACACACACACACACACACACACACACACACACACACACACACACACAGACACGCTTCTTCATACGAGTTAATTTTTAAAAATCCATTACAAAATTAAATACAATGAAAGACAAACAACAAAACAAATTCAGCCCCGTTCTCAAAGCTTACAATCATCTCAACACACACACACACACACACACACACACACACACACACACACACACACACACACACACACACGGCGGTCAGTAAACGTTAAGTGATGAATTGAGGGTGGACTGCTTTGTCCAAGGAAGCGCTGAGTGCAAACCTCGACTCAACTGGACAGTCTCGTATTCACGCCCAGCGATCAGAGGTAAAATCTCTTTAAAAAACAAAAAACAAAACAAAAATAAAACAACAGCCTTCGTCTCCAAGAGGGAGTCTTTCCTCCTTTCTCGTTCCGAGGACAATAAGACGCGCCCCTCCCTCCTGGCCCCTCGCCGCCGTAGCACCATCCAATCCGGCCTCCTTCCTCTCTTCCCAAATCCCTACGTGGGAAGTCTTTACTCTCCGTGCGCCCAATTTCAATAAACACGTCCGTTCCTCCGGTTGCTCCCTCCGGGTCGCTGTGTGTGTGTGAGTGTGTGTGCTGGTCAGTGTGCAGAGCGTGGTCAGAAGACCTCTGGTAGTGTGACGTTGCGGAGTAGCCACTGCTGGGAGCGTGTGTGTGTGCAGTCTTTGACGCTGGGCACCTGGCTGTCCTCCTCACTGGCCTTGTCCAGACACTGGTTGCTGTTGACGTGGATCAGGCTCAGCTTCTGCACAGAGGGGAGACACGGGGGTGTGAGGGGATGCAGGCTTCTCACTGCCTCAGTTGTGTATTTTATTTTACTGAAATTCCATGTTTTTTCTAAACTTCTGCAGATGTTGAGGTGCTTTTTTGGGGCTAAGCTCTCAGTGCGAGGCAGGCTGTTGTTGGGTTGTATCTCAGTAAGGACATATGTCCCCCTAAAAACTACAATATCCCAATAAAAGAAAAACAATCTCCCAAACTGATTTAACCACTAGTCTTAACTATGTGTTGTCATACTGTATGTGTATTGGGAATACACTGGTTTTGTTGTTTTCAGCCGTTGTTTGCAGTTAAACACTATAGTTAAACCTAACTACTTTACTACTTTCTTTACTTAGTTTGATTCATATTTATTTTCAGAGCTGTGCTTATCCCGAGAGGACCTTATTTATTGTAAACTGCTGTGGTTGCCTTTTTGTGAGGGCAAATAAATCTGAAGTGAAAATGAGTTGACATTTTCTGTGCTTTATTATTTTCATTAAAAATGTTATTGATGTTTTTTTGTACAGATTTAAATAAGGAGAAAAAAAAGAAAGATGAGCCTCTAAAATGTCTGACCTTTCAGGTTTCAGGCATGACAACCCGTTCTGTATGTTAATAGGTTTATATTTATTATTACATGTGTGCATTTCTTCATGTCCTCACACACGCACTGACACGTACATTTCCACCATTTCTCCTACTCACCACAGGGTCGTAATCCCAGAGCTGGTTGCCTTTGAGGTGATGGCACTTCAGCATCATGACGGGTCCGTTTAGCTTGGACACGTCGAGACACAAGTCATCCGTCCTGATCTCCTTATTGGCCGTGTAAGAGAACACCTGGATGTGACACAAACAGAGCACAGACCTCAAATCACATCTGCATTTCTTTCTCTTTATATTCGTTGTTAGGAGAATTCTTTCAGTTACTACCAAAAAATGGTTGGGTTGGAACGTATTTTGAAGGTTAAAATCAAGCGCCTCGCCTTCCAGTTTGGCTCTTTCTTTACCACAACGTCTCAAACTCTATTTCACCCCCATTAGAGAACAAGACCTGGAGATACTTGAACTCCTTTACTTGGGGGGCCATCCACTGTTTTCGGACAGAGAACCGGGGTCTCGCACCTCTGAGGTGCCAGGACTGCACATTTAATCCAACTTTAATCACGATTTTGGTTGCCAGGTTGTCGGGCGAACTGTTGAAAAGGATCAGTCTGATGCAAGGATGTATTCTTCAGCCAGAGAATGTAGCACAACAATGAAGGTGGAAGCAGTGTTCCTGTTCATTTGAAAGTGCAATAAAAAGATGTCATCCCTAAAATAATGTATAATTGACATCAATGCGATTAATTGTGATCTATATTGATTATTGTAAATTATTGTGATTATGATCATCATCATCATAATCTTGCAGCCCTACCAACACTCACTGAAACCCAACTGGATGGCTCACGGCAACTGCACAGTTACGCCATAAAGCAGCATTTAAAATGGGCCGAGTTGCCAGTATAGTTTCTGCATTTAGTCACTTTCCCTCCTATGATACCTGGTTGCCTCCCATGCCGTGGCAGTTGAAAATGCCGACTTTCTCATTCTCCTTGCGGGCCATGTTGTCCAGGCACTGGTTGGTCTCCACGTTGCGGATCTGAGCAGGATACACAATAAAAGCCGGATTAAGCAAATGATTATGGTTAAATGAAAACAAAACCTTGTGTCTGCAGGGGTTTTAGCCTAAAGGCAGTGAATCACAGGGGCATCTATGTCCGTCCGTCTTACAGCATTAAGAGTACCTCTAAGGTGAGTTAGTGAGTCAGTGTGAGTGAGTGAGAATACCTCTCCCAGGGAGTAATAGTGTCTGGGGATCTGAGAGTCAGGGTAGACGTTCTCCAAGTACCAACTGAAGGGTTTACATTGAAGCTTCTGCCTCAGAGCCGAGCGAGATGTGATGTCGCCATAGTCCACTTTGGTCACACCTGGACACAAATACACGACATTGACATGAAGGTCGATAACTACAGTGCCAGGCTACATTCAAACCGTCCAGTCTTTGCAAAGAGGCTGCTGAATTAAGTTCTTCCTGTGAGCATTATTCAATGTGTGTCATTGGTAAAGAGGAATAAGGACATACGTGATTTGAAGCACCCAGACAAGGGTTGCAGGTTTTAAGTACGTTCCTTGATCAATCATTGGCAACATTAAGGATGAATGAAAACATTAAACGTTTGCCTGTAGCAAAATACTACTACTACTACTACTACTCATTAAAAAAAATGAGCATGTGTACTTAAGTGGGTGTAATACAGCTTGACCACAATCACTCCAGCGGCTGGAAACCAAAGGGCTGTATAAAATAAATATTTTTTAATGTTTGAAGCTTTAAATGCAGTTTCTGAATGAAGTTCTCATCTTTAGAACTAGTTTTGACATCGGCAGAGCAGCCGTCTAAACACGTATTCAGTGTTTGAGTAAGCGGCAAACCTAATCTCTTAGTTTTAGCTTCTATTGACTAGCATAGTGACTTGTGCAGACTATTGGTCTCCTTTGCCAATTAATGCAAGTCTGTGTGCGTGTGTGTAGGTGAAAGTCAATAGGCGCTTCTTAGCGTGAAATTACTCACTACCCCCCATCCTGCGCTACTGAGTCACCGCTGCATGATCACGCTTTCCACAGCTTAACGGATAGATCTGACCGGCCGCAGAGATTAAACTCCACGCATGAGCAAATATATGCACACTTGCATACATGTGCAAACACACACACACAAACACACACAAACTCACCAGGGGAGATGATGTAGAAAAAGTTTTTAAATTCATCCATCCAGACTTCGGCCAGGCGTCGGTTGTTTTTGTTGATGATCTGTCCCGTCCCCCCAGGGAACGTGTAGGGTGTGGCCTTTCTGAACACGTGGCCCACGTGGGAGCATGTGACGATCTCCAGCGTCCCGCCGCATTGCCAAATCTGTGAGACACAACAGATGTGGCATTAACACACACAAGCACAGTGCAGTGTGCAGAATAGAAATGATCCACCAACTGGTGAAGGATGTGCCCGACTGTCCGATTGAAAGCGAGCCAGCATGAAGCCTGACAAAAGGCTTGTGTGTTCACTCACTCTGAAAGAGATCTCCAGGTTCTCTCCTCCCCAGATGTCCATGCCTGCGTCATACGTGCCGATCTCCTGGAAATAATCTCTGTCTATGGAGAATAGGCCGCCTGCCATGGTGGGAGTCCTGGAGAGCGACGGACAGCAGGGTGAATTAAGAGCAGGGAGGGTTAGCGGCACTTGAGTCACTGAAGACCTGCTTTCAAAAAGGTCACATGGTATTTAGCGATCCCATCAGAGTTTGATGTTTCGTCACTCCCACCCAATTCTGCTATTTCCTTCTCTGTTTTTAATGGCCTGAAGGCTGCGGCCCCATTTCTCCCCCTCACAGAACATTTTGCTCCACTGTGGATCAGGCTTTTTTTCATTACTGTGGGTTTTTGCACATTTACTGCGTGCACACATGGTAAATAATGAGCAACACAAACACCAGCTTGTTGAACAACAGATGTTTTGAACCATCACAGCCAGTAACCAAAAAGAAAAGTGGTGAACTGCATCAGTATTAATAATATATATGCATGTTTTTCTTTTAACTGTAAACATAGCAAAGCTCTGTAAATTATTCAGCAAACAGTTTAATCAATATCGTTAAAAGACACATCCCTGTTAAACAAAAACATAAATCGCTTCATCTAAACAGTGTTGAAAACACAATGTTTATCAAAAAGACTGCAGCAGGCCTGGAGCTACTGAAGAAAAGCTCTCAACGTACTTAGTAGCAGTACTGGAATTCCAAAGAAGTTCACATCAGTGGTGCTCCTCACTCATTCATTCTACAAATTTCCTCTCCGGCAAAGCTTGTACTCTTTATCTAAGCGGTTTATCAACTGAAACCTGTTAGCCAAGCTTCATTCTGAAAACCTGTTGGTAAATCTTCTCAATAATATAGAATGAATTCCTCCGGACAGGATTCATGAACGTCACATAATTATTAGAGTACGTTTTACTTTCATACTAAGACCTGGCAACACAGTTTTGTTTCTTGGCACAACTGTGAAAAACAACCGCAAACAGGGAAAGATAAGTGTTACATAAGTGATATCCTATCTGTGAATAATAATATAATATAAAGAGGAGGAAGAAGAGATGAATTTGAGCCATGAGAAATGATACAAGGAACATAACTCCACTGAGTCTTAATCTCGTCTTAAACTCCACAGTTGAGTTCTATTTATTCTTGGGTTATTTATTCCTTTTGGGCATGTTGTAACAATTAACTGTTGCAAATCAAATGGCGAAGCACGATTTCTCTGCACACATCAATTGTAAATGCCCATCAGCAACGCTACGACTTGCTATGAAGTTATTTTAAGCAACTGACGGAAAGAATTACTGTGAATGATCATAACGATGCAATTTCGTCCTGTAGGCAAATTATCTTTACACTCGATCCAACATAGAAGGGTAAGGGTCAGCTGCACAACTGGTAAGCATTATATAACGTGCCCAACGATTCTCCAAAAAGAAAAAAGGCAAACCCGGACCACCCACCTGACAGGCAGCGTGCGGTCTCCTTTGCGGCGGTCCATCTCTCTCTGCGGTACGGGGTACCAGCGGAAGTTGAGCTTCCAGTTGAAGCCGCCGTACGTCATGTCGGATCCTGCCATGTACTCAAACGTATCGTCGCTGATCACGTCGATGATGGGGCACACCACCGTTCTCCTTCAGCAAACACAAACGTTCATCAGTCTCCTTCTCTCCACGACCTTGGGGGAGGGGTTCATCAATCACGGCTAAGCGCTGATCTGCAAGGTCCCCAACCCTGAAGATAAAGGGTACCCAACCCTTTTTGCCTCACTGATTGTTTTCATTTTAGACTATTTTTTGCATTTGATCGCTGGTGGGCGGAACTGCCATGCGCAGCGAGTAGCGGGCAATTGTGTGCGGGTAAAAAAACGCTTGGGAAATATGTCAAGAGGGACGATTGCACGTAATTAGGAGAGAATCCTGTCAATTTTCTACATAAAACATTTTTCAGAAAAGAATTCTTTCTGTAGAGCGGCCAGCTACCAAAGGGCCCGGTGGATGGGGACCCTGATTTAGACAAGGGTCGCTCATCACACCCTCTTAAACCCTGTGCGTGTAGGTGTGTATATACTTGCAGTAAACAAAGAATACTAAATTAAGCATCAAATAAACACAGGCTCCCTGCAGGCTCAACAACAGTTCATTGATTTTGATATTTTACTTAAGCGGGCCATAAGGGTTTATGACAGGTGTGTGTGTTTGTTTGTCTTACTTGTCTTGCTTTATGCGGGCGAGCAGAGGCTCCAGCCACCCTGTTGTGCATTCACAATGAGCATCCAGAAAGGTTATCACCTAGAGACAAAGACAGGCACCATGAGGCAAACCTGTCGGCGTGCACACCATATGGTGAGCAGGTCCATGGGTGTTGGATGTCACATGGGTGCACGCATGCTCTCACTCACACACACACACACACACACACACACACACACACACACACACACACACACACACACACACACACACACACACACACACACACACACACACCTGGCCAGTCGAGATGGACGCTCCCTTGAGGCGAGCACGGATAAGTCCAGACCGCTGCTCCATCCTCACCACTCTGACGGGGACTTCCAGCCTTCGGACATACTGCTCCAACGGCCGCTTCAGGAAATCTTAACCATACAAATACAAACACATTAATGCGAAAAAAGAACCCGACAGACACAGGCGCACAAAAATACATACAACAAGAGATGGTTTACAAAGATCTCCAAACTATTCCCCCCAGTAGCAACTGAGATCAAGGGTGACTGAGCGATTTTTGACATTGCGTGTATGAACGCCTGCCGACATCCCGTCTACCTGCAGAGAGCGTCCCAGGCAGCATGCACCACTCCCACATCACACTAACCTGAGGTCCCAGGGGGTGAAATGGTGATGTGTGGTGGCGGATGGGAGGGATTGAGGGTAATAACAGAGTGTAATCCCTGCGGCTGGCGAATTAAATACCTAATCTCCCCCAAACAGGGATTAGCAACATTGACAGAGTGGAGTGGCACACACAGGCCATATATGCTGACTGGCTGTGGGGCATCAGCACAGAGAGCGTAGACTCTCTCACCCTTAAACGGAAATACACACCAAAAATCATACAGTAACGCAAAAAAAGCCTTAAACAAGAAGCACAAGCGGGTGAGGAATAATCTGCATTGTGTGTGTTTACCTCTCTCGCTGGCATCGTCCACCAGGACAATCTCCTCCAGCAGTGTGTGAGGCGATCGGTCGATGACGGAGTGCACCGTTCGCAGCAGTGTGCTCCACGCCTCATTGTGAAATACAATCACCACGCTGGTACGGGGAAGATTATCGGGGTACAACTTGTTCTTGCATCTACAAAGAGAAAACAAAACAATCAGATGTCATTCTAAAAAAAGAACTGCCTATGTAGAATAATTAGACGGATACTTGAAACGAAACTATGTAAACGGAAAGAAACCAAATTCCAAAACAACAAACTCACGTCCAAGAAATGCATTTAAAAACCAACACGTTTGGTTGGACTACGATATGTGTGATAAGTGAGGTTGTAGGCTTTGAACAGAGACAGTGAGAAAATAGGAATAGACATCACAATCCAGATCTGTCTGATTGGGAGCGACTGCAACAGAGAGCTGCAATTTAGTGAGTCCCACAAGAGAGACGTGAACAAGGATCAAGTAGCCCGGGACTTATACATCAACTAAACAGCCTTAGTCAGATCGTCATATGGATCACATGAAGAATCACATCCTTTTCAGCTCCCAAAACAGAAAACTATGGGTGAATAATGAGCGAGCAGTCAAGAGTATATACGATATAAATTTAGACAAATTCAGACAGAAATAGTGGGTTGGCACGGGGAGAGTGATGCTAGTTAGAGTGCGAGTCCTTGTCGTAGCAGTTTAGTTGTTATTGAGAAACAAACAGAGATGTAAATGTCTGACGGAGGAGAGCAGGCCTGAGTGGAGCCAAGAGAAGACAAGATGCCAAGAGGCAGACATATTTACATTGCCCCCCACAGTTTTCACTGTTATGATAAACCATTATATATAGTATTTAAGATTGTATTATAAACACTTTGGGTATTTGGTATAAAGCAGTTTTAGGGTGACACAATGCACTGCATTGAAGTACAAATATGTCACAACCTTTCAACCTCCCTGAGGGTCAGAAATCTTTCATAATCATCTGACCAGCGGCTTTAAAAGTATGCTCCATTCATTGGAAATAATTCACTAAGTACAGATGGATTGACTTGCACAACAGATGGTAGAAAATCTAGACTAATGCAATTGCAAATGATGACTGTTACTCTCCAAGAAAAAACATTAAGCACGCGGCAGTTTTGCCTGAAAACAAGTTTGAGTCAAGGGAGAAATATGGACACACTTGTGTAGGTCAAGACACACTACGGCCTGTGGTCATACGTGCCTGAAAGCGCTTTGACTTTTAACGGTCTCGCAGTGAAGGTGTTTCTGTCCAAAGACGCTCAGTGAGTTGTTCAAACGGTTTCATCTATTCATGGCAGGAAGGAGAAACTGAAACCAGCTTGCGACTTCCTTCCTCTCACAGATTCAACCGTCAAAAGAAATATGATCTCTTATCATAACTCCCTCCTTCTTTGTCATCAATCCAGAGCCCTGGAAAGCTTCCTCTCTCTGCAGCTGATCCTGACTGAGGGAATGCAACGGAATGAGACAGGAGGTGGAGAACATTAACCAGCCTTTGGAGCGAGTTAAATGACGCACCCTGGGATTCTCAGTCCGCGGTGTGCATGTGTGTTACAGCTCTGCGAGGAAGGGAGGATGCAGACGGTTCGCTGTAAATACAGTGACATCCTTTCAGCTTTTAAAACACGCAAGTTCATTATTTCTCTCTTCTCCTCTCAAACACAAACGGAAGAACTAAGACTTTACACTTTTCAGACTAAAGTCTTCGCTGTGCAGCTGATGGAAAACCGAACCTCCGCGTCCTCCAAAACAACGTGTGATGACACATGATGGCATAAGTGAATCATGTCATGTGATGTGGAATTTAATTAGGAGTGGTTAAGTCCCGTGTACCCAAACAGTTTCTAGAGCAACTTTTGGCAACAGCAAAGCAGCGTAATGGGTGGATTATGGGGATGGGCGGGCAGGATGGTTCGGATTTAACTGCCTCACTCTTGAAACATTAAACTAAGGCCAACACACACACAGGCACACATATTTAAACCTACTACTACACTATGTGCATTCTCATAACAATTCTACAGTTCGAATCTAAAAAGTGGTGGTCATAGAAAGTGTTTTTGTATACCGGTACTGTAGATGTGTAAAACACACACACACACACGAACACTAATTTACGGTCCTCTTCTGATATTTCTTTTTTGACTCAATGACTGCACCGCTGACAATAAGGAAAATAAACCATCAGCAACCAACAATTTCTATTTCAAAGTTCCAGCTAATGGTGACTTACTTGACAATAATGAATTCGTTCAGTTTCCCTGAACCTGCCCCCCCCCACACACACACACACACCAAAATAAACACAAACATACGCAATATCTACACATTGCCTTGCTCGATATTGACTCAGTGTTATCTCCTAATTGGAAAAGCTGATAGACTGAGAGAAGGCTGAGTGAAAACACACCTAGTAATCAACTCTCTAAACCCATTTCACGGATCAATGTTCTTTTTCTTTCCCGCCTGTCTAGTGTGCATGTGCCCCTGCCCGTCAGTCGTGTGCCTGTCACTCAGTTTTTCCGTCCACTGCTCAGAAAACCTCCGTTTGTGATCTATGCCTGTTCCACTACTGAAGCCTGTAAAGGGGCAGAGGCGGCATGTTGGATACCTGTCGGACGACTGAACACAGGCACTGACAGACGCTTAAGTGAGACCAAACTCCTCATTATGGTGAAAAACAGACCTGTGAATAGCACATAGCTGGTATCGCTGTAGCAAAATAAAAAAAGGGGCAGCATGACCTTGTATCATTACTTCTTTAACATGATGCACTTCCTTTTAAAGCAGGACAGGGAGGGACCCGTCTTCGAGGAGAAACACTGGGCAATTGGCCATTAAAGGCAGTGTTATGCGAGTCCTAGTTACATATCTATATTTGTGGAAACTGTTTGTGTGGCGGGAAGTCTTGGTCCTGATGGACCTCAACCTCCTGCCAGATCGAAGGGGCACAAACAGGTTTTGTCCGGGGTGAGAGGGGTCAGCAACGATCTTTCTAGCTCGCTAGATATATATTAGGGCTGTCAATAGATCAAAAAATATGAACTTTAACTTACATTTTTTAATTATTATTATAATTATTATTGCAAAATTGCAATAAATAAAATTGCAAAAGTGGAAAAAAAAACCTTCAAGACCTGGAGGCCGTCCCCTTCCCACCTAGATAATGGCTGGGGAAACATAGGATTAGGAGCAAGTGACAAACCAGGACGGCTGATTAGCTGCAGGAAAGCGGCTCACCCTTCCAGGCGGACGTCAGGCAGAGACCGATTGAGTGCAATCATCTCCGAGGCCATGAGGTTGAACTGGTTGATCTTAAACATGTCCTTCATCTTCTCTTGGTTGTCCTTCGGGATCACCACAGGCTTTCCGCCTTCACCGGGCCCGTCCCGAGGCCGGATCAGGGTATCTGAGGCAGACAAACGCACACACATACGTAGTGTGAGAGTGTGTCTCTATGATCACACGTGTATTTGAGGCAAGATACACTCACCATGTCTCCCTGGTAGTCCTCTCTCTTTCTTGTCGTCACACTTGTTGCACTCGCTGAAGTAGAGTAGAATGAACATGTCCAGCATCACCCACACCAGAGAAGTGGCCAAAACCACCTTACAGTAAGCGAACCTCCGCATCCTGATGAAGAAATTAAAGAGAAGGGAAGGAGAGAAATGTTAAGGCTTTTACTGAAGCCAGGGGAGAAGACGAATCTTCTACAGAAGAGAAGTTCTACAGAAGAGATTGCTCTTTATTTCTCCTCACCCCCCCAAACCTTCATCCCTCCCACGTTTCTACCCTGAAGTATCTTCCCCTGCCTGCATTCGTCTATCCTGCTGTCTGTCCGTCTGACTCTAAGCACTTATCGGTTGCTCACAGTCCAAATGGTTCACTTTACACCTCAAAGTTCCTCATTCAGAAAAAGAAACAGGATAGCTTTGTCGTTTGTAAAAAGTGCAGCTAGGTTTGTGTGCGGCACCACGTTTTGGATAGGATGTGTGTAAAACTTAATCTATGTAAAACTTTAGCTGCTATCAAGAATCAAGCAAATGTGTACAGTAATCTTTTTCAGAGTCCTCGAAGCCAAAATGCAGTCAGACACACACTTGCAGGTAAGCACGCACGCACGCACACACACTCACGCAGACTCACACTCCGTCACAGAGAGAGAGAGGAGATGTGATGGTAATTGCTTTTCTTTGGCAGGCAGTGAGAGACAGACACAGGCACATTAAAATTCTGCTCCTCCAGCACCTTCTCTCCTCTCTTTGGCTGATTCTCTGCCTCAGTGATCCCTCCGGTTGCAGCAGCACAAGCAGAAGGGAGAAAATGAGTTTGGCTACGGGGGATTTCTTTCGTGCACCTGGGAGGGGAAAATAAAAGTGCACCGCTAGCTTAGCTTAGCGTAGCAGCCAAGGAGGATGAAGCCTTTCTAAATTCCTCCTGATAGGATTCGGGGAGCACAAAGTGCCGTCCACAGCAGAAAACGAGTAAACATTTGTCTGTCACTCAAAGTTGATCTTTTTTTAGACTTGCCATGTAGAGAATACTTGTTTGTATATTTGTCTGGGGGAAATATAAGATAATATAGGGAATCATAATGCCATAAGGACCTTAATTTAAATAACGAAAAACTCAGAGTTATTAGTGAGGAGCAGTGATACGTGACTTCTCAGCCGAGAGTGATCTTTGCATCTATCACATGAGTTTTGTAACCCTTCTAGATTTCTGTTGTTGACACAGATAAAATGGTGCATACAAACCACCGGTACAAAAATGCAATGCTCTCATTGCTAACGCCCACAGAAGAAAAAATGAGTTAACTAGCAATTGGTTTTGACGAGGTTAATGCAAATGCATCCAGTCACAGCTGGTTAAACTTGGCACTTAGTTGGCTGCAGACTGAATCCATTTTAAAATTTGACGTTTGGTATCTTAGGATACTTATTATTAGTTAGATACAACACTTGTGTTCATTTTATTCATGCGTGTTCACTTTTTTTCTCCTTTGCTTTTTTCTGTCAGCCACAGTTAAAGATTCAGGTGTTTTTAAGGATTCCCACCAGGTTCCCAATACTTTTAGGACTTTTATGGAACATCAAACTTGAAACCACACAAACGTGCTAGTTGTGAAACACGTTCTGGTATTCCCCTGTAAAGTACAAGTTCATTCACAGATCCTCTCCGATATCCTCAAAGAATTTGTCAAATCGCTTGTCCCACTGTTCAGACCATTCCTCTCAGAATTCCTGACATTCCAGCATCAGTCGGAAGCCTTAAATCCAGCGCCTGCTCCGCGGTCTCTTTCCTTTCCTCCTGACCTGACCTCTGAGCAGTAACCGGACACAACATCATAGCAGAAAAGTGGATCCTTTTCACCTTTCCCTGCGGACAGGCAGGGCTGTGGCGCAGATGCCGAAGAACATAGCAGCGCACTTGGTAGGCGATAGACGCAGAATGCGCTCCATCGTGGAAAGGAACGCATGCATTCTTTGTCACAAAGCCGTGTCGTATGATAGAGGGACGTCAACCGGTTTCCTCGAAGGCCATTTGGTCACAGTGGAGGTAAAAGAAGTGGACAGCGGACACTTTGAGCAGCAGCAGAGGAGATTCATCGACGTAACACTCTTTCCCCCCATCGCCCTTCTCTCGGCCGTGCCTGTCTCTGTATTTCTAATCAGGCATGGCAGAGGACACCTCAGGTCTGCTCTGTGGCTGCTGCAGCAGCTGTGGGCCCTGCTTCTCCGTGTGCTGCACGAGCGTATGACTGAGCGTCGGTTCATTTTATGTTGGCGGCGGTCTATTTGAAGTCTCTTTTAAACTCCCTATGACATTAAACGGACACACACACACACACCTCAGTCTCTGCTCGTTAATCCCCTTACAGATCGCACTGCCTCCATCTTTCTTCTACATCTCTATCCTGGGCATTTCTCTTCCAGCCACACTACCCCCATTCCCATGTTCGTCTCTTAGTGATGTCGTCTCTTTTCAAGAGCGGTTGCCATCACTACTTCCCTGTGAGAATACACCCCCCCCCCACTTCACATCCTTCTCTGTGTCTCTCTGTGTTTCCCCTCTTCTCCACAGGCCTAATCCCTCTTTAGTTAGAGATTGCACAACCAGAGTTTCTCACAACTACTCATGAAAACTCTGAAGTGAGAGAATCTCTCGCTGCGGTTTTATGACTGGGAGTGGTGGAGCCTCCATTCTGGGGATTTCATGTTTATATGTTTAAAAGAAAATCAAGAGAGAGGGAGGAAGATACTAAATGTGAGAGAAGGATTTATGTGCTGCTAAGTCATGTAATGAACTACTAACAGGTCATTTGCTCAGCGTCTGCGATGCCCATTTCCTACTTAATGAAACCATTAAATCGAGCTACACTATCTGTCATAAACATGTGAGAATCTTCACTGAGGAAACAGAAAACAAGAGACGGTGCTATTATTCAAGTCAATTCAAATAGCTGTCTAGTTGGGTCATGTGGATTTGATCCGGCTCAACCGTTCCCTAGACAACGCAGATGGGAGCACGATTATCAGAACTGTTTCTAATGCTTCCCAATTAGGGCAAAACGGGGAACAGGCTAATATTAGGGAAGTGAAACCGAACAAGGCGGCCTGAAGTCTCCATTGCCCTTTGCGGAGCAGACGCAGGACACGGTCACTCTGGGAGAAAAGACCGGGGTTCATTTTCCGGTCACAACCTTGAGTGCAAAAAACAACTGTTCCCATAGAGGAAGGAGAGCCAGAAGAGGACAGCAGACACAGTACATGAGACTGAGATTATATTCATAAGATGTATTGTGTGCTGCCATATTTCAATGGGTATGTGTAGTAAATATATATACATACATTTAAATATATATTACAGGGTTTGCCACAGTGTGTTACGCAAAGGAGGAACTAACGTAGTAGTAAATGAGTAGTAAATGCACCACCATAACCATAAACTGTTATTTCATGAATGAGGCAATTGTTTAAAACACAGATTAATCACAGGACAAGTCAGGAGCTGCATGGCTTACAACCACGATTAAACAATTATCATGGGAGAAACCTTGTGTTTTATGTGAGTCATTACAGACATTTATAATTACTAATACCCCCTAATTCAAAACATTCACATGCTACATGCTGGATAACATGGCAGACGAAACACTGCAGAAACACACAAGCGTGAAGGGTGACGGCCACAGTTCAGTCCCCAAAGCAGAATGACTGTGTGGAAATCTGACGTATTCTTATCACAAATTATCAAAAGCGGTTAAACATGAGACCGCTGCGAGAGGTCAGTACGAGGTGGCCGCTCTGCAGATGCACTGGACTCTACTTGGTAGCAGTGGGTCTAATAACATGTACATCATACTTGTAGCTGAGGTTTACAGACTATTTTGTCAAAATGCACATATTGAATAATGTATGTTATAATATTTAAGGGATTTCTTATTCAAAATGAATATGTTTTTTTTTTTTTTAAAGATGCTAATAGATGGTAACGGCATCAAAAGCAAGAGAGGGAGAGGGAGAGGGAGGGAGAACATTTTTGAAAATGTAGTTTTAAAAAAAGTGAAGGGGACAGCAGAAACTGCGTAAAAGCCCCAGCTGAAAAAGATTATCGATGCAAAGCTTGGCACAGGCGCAAAGTGGAATTAAACCATTCAATCTCAAACCACTCGGGTATTCCGGGCCAGAATCAATATACGTTAATGTCACAGGGGCCGCTCCGTCGGCGGTGGGAGAGAGCGCAGCAGCCTGGCTTTACAGGAGCACAGAACCCCCCGACACACAGGCCGGCACGCAGCAGGAAAACTAACAAAACACAACGGACACAAGAGCCCACTAACCGCAGCACCTCGCATCTTGGACTGCGCGACGCCTTTTAACATCTCTCATCACGCAGTGCAGGATTTAATGACACTGATGGACACACAGTCGAATAAAAAGAGCATTAGATATAACTATTTACAATATCATCACAGACTGTGTGTTATTCGGGTTTAACACACACACACGCACACACACACACACTCTCAATGTTGCTACTACCACTGCTACCTGACCAGAAGGCAAGATTTACAAGGCTGCGGCATCACAACTGGATTTCCCTGACGACCGACCACTTCCACACGTCTGCAGAGGCTTTCTGAACATAAGTGAAAATAATGTTGGAGATATTGCGGGTGTACTTTTTTAACAGGAATGTGTTCAATGCATCCATACTATTCTGTGGCTATTTTTTTTAAATGTTCATTTAACGCCACAAAGCCGTGTGAACGGCCACACGTGTGAATAAATATTCAAATATTTTGCTGACAATATGTTTCGGCTCTCGCTCTGCAGCACATAGCTGTGTTTTAAAAAACTTGTTCTATTTCGATTACTTTTGTGCTCCGAGCGTTTTTCACAGCCACACGCTCTCTCGCTCTCTCTCTCACTCACTTGCCGTGCTCACACTGCGCACAAGGCTGCTTCATAAATGACCACACGACTCTAATGACCCCATGTTTCCACCCGGAATCTAGAGGGAATTTTTCCAATTAGAAAAACTTGATTGAAGCAACAACTCCAGTAGAACTTTCCCCAGAGCGGTCAAACGCAATGAAAGGTCTCCTAAACTTTAGAGAGCATTCAAACATATGTATCCACTCACAGAACGCTTCCTGGAGGAAGTGAGGGAATTTGCTTGATTAGCACGGTGCCACAGACACGACTGAAAGCATCACAGACTACAATTAGACCGTTAATCATCACTCTGGATACTATATGACTTAGTAGATATGCAAAGTATGTTGCCGGTGCAATCCCCTACATAATAAGACAACAACCACGGTATACAGGATTCAGAGAGTTTTAGTTATACATAAACAATTGTTAACAATGAGAGCTTCAGCTCATCAACAGGATGTTGTATTTTACTTTTGAAGGATCCACTGCACAGATATCTGCGGTTTTATACTAATTGTAATTTTAGTTTTATTGGCTAATGGCGTTGATAAACTCCTACCTGTCCAAGTGACTGTGGGAGCCTCTGGTCAGATGTGCAGGTTGCTCCACCAGCACAGGGGGGGCGGGGCGAGAGCGATCCCACAGTCCTCTGCCCGTCACTCAAACATGCTCCTTGAACAAGAGAGAAACAGACACGGAATAAAAACGTTGTTTCGTTACGTATAAGAGCAGAGCGCATGCTGAGGAGTTCAGCAAAAACAAATCGTGGTGTCTTGAATCAAAGAATAAGAAAGGAAGAGAGTATTGATTTGGGACTTTTTGCAAACCTTTTTTGAAGAGAGTGATTGTCTTATCAATCACACCTCTAGGGCACAGAACCACAAAGCAACCACAGGAAGACCCGTAACAGGCTGTCACTCAGACTTAAACACATATCCTGTCGGTGAACGCACAACAATGACATGTGCATGAGTCACAAAGTCAGCGGGCATGTTTCCAGTTACACCACCACTTCCTGACATTGGTGGAAATGTAGCATTTCTTTTAGTCTAGTCTGAATGCAAGACTCTGGAAAAAACATCAATCATTTACAAACTGTTGGCCGGGCTTTGTATCTCTTTGAGTTGTGTTATAAATCCACATTATCCTTCCTCCTTCCACACCCGCCCAAAGGTCAAACACCACCAGAGACTCTGCGCCAGCTGTGTGGCAGGATAAAACTAGAGAGAAGAGGGGGGGATGCAGGGCTAGAGGGATAGAAGGATGGACAACCGACGGATTCCAGAACTGCTCATCTCACCGGATTAATCTGCTATTTTTAAAAAATCCGCAGAGAATGAAGATGAGGGTGAATATGACTCAATGTGGGCGTATGCATGTGTTTGTGTCCTTCAATCTGGTCCTTGGCCTACTTCAAAGCCCAGTCATCATTGGTAGCCCACTGGTACAGTCACATAGTGTGTTTGTGCGTATTAAAAGTTTATATTACAGGAAGAACCACACCATCTCTTCCTGCTAGCCGACACACTGCTGGTGTTGGTGAGTGGCTGTGCTGCACCTCTCGGTAAGTTGTTCCACCTCTGCTTCCCTTCTTGTCTCCCTTTCCCTCACTCAGTCTTACATCACAAAACTGCCTCTCTTTCCATCCCTTTTAAATCTCCCATAGTCTTATACACACCTCCACAAAGTAAGAACGGAATGCAATCCATCCTGCAAATTGGAAGCAGGACAAGTGAGGGCCTCTATAAATACTTTGCAGGATCCCCTGACAATCACAAAATACATCTAGAGACCCACACATGCAAAACCAAACACTGCAGCACAGAAAGCCACTTCCCTATTTCGCTCTCGGCCCTGCAAGCCGCTTTCTCTCTTCCTCCTGCCGGTCTCTTGCCGTAGTCATTGACAACAAACAGAGCAACCGTGAACAGAAAGAGACGGACAATGAAACACAATGAGACAATACCCGTCTTGATTGCAAGCATGACAAGAAAATGTGTATTTTCAAATATGGACGAGAGGTGTTTGTGTGATGTAATGGGCCATTTCTCCAGCAGTGCAGCAACGTGGGGAGGTCCTCCAACACATGCAGCTGCCTCAGCTTTTCCTCCCCCTGGGTATTAACTGTTCGCTTATTAAATGTAAACCCTGACCTCAGTCCCTTCAACAAACACAACAAGTAGATGCGATATACTGCTGCTGTAAGACATACACAAAAACAAACGTGCTGGCTCACCCCTAGCAGCACGCCGACGTGCCGGCCTCGGTGGTTGGGCGAACAGAGACCGTTAGTCAGATTTGTTACACACAGCAAGTGAGCAGAGATGGACCTGTCCAAACAGTGAGACGCGCTAGTGGAAAATGACCACATTTGAGGCCGGCAGAGCACTGACACGAGCGCCCAGGGAGCCGAGGCACTACGTAGCAGGTTATGTGGTCGTCACCCTTTTCACCCACGTTCTGTGTACCAACACACCGATTCAATCCGTTGGACTTTGTGCCTCTACCGACTTTATTAAAGGAAAAAAAAATTGACCAGATGTGAGGGCTCTACATTCATTTGCAGCTGTAAACTTGATTTTATTCATTAAGTCAGGATACGGTTAAAATGTGAATAAAGGTTACAAAATCTCATAAATAAAAAAGTAAAAATAAATAAAAAATGTGTCTGCATGTCTACACTTACAATTAAGACCCTCGAAGAGCTCCATGTTTTACATATTGCTAAAGACATTACTAGGACTGCGTTCTGCATCATTTGGTAGATGAAAAAGTCGGGCGGGCATCGCAAATTCTCTGCGTCTCAGATTGCATGTTGCATTCATTCATTTAGTCCAGCAGCGAGCAGCTGAGAACCAACCCAGAGAATGCAGGAGAAAAGCCAGATAGCTTTGACGTCATCATCCCACCCTTCCCTCGCCTCTATCTCCTTCCTACACTCCCAGTTATTAATCCACAAAGGCCTGCCTTTTCTCCCACGCAGACGTCTTTCCATCCCGTCTGCGGTGACGTGATTCTGGCTGTAAATCCCAAAAGACCAGTGGCTGACGCAGCATATGAAACGCAGAGGTGAGGGGGAGCTCATGGGTGGAGTAATGTTGAACTCCTTGCAAGCAAGCACAGGTTCTGTTTCAGCCAGCAGAAATCACTTAACACACACACACACGTCATTAGCTTAATGCACGCCTGCACCCACATAACACCCTGCAAACTAAAGCCCCCCGAGGCTTCAAAGAAGGACTGGTGCCAAAACCAGGTTGAGGAGCTCTGAAACAACCTTTGTTCTACACAATTTAGAAGGTAATGTGGCCAGAGCTAAAACTAAGCGACAGTTAAATCAGTCATCCTCAAGCTGAGCGTGAACACAACAACCAGCCGGCATTTAACCTCAAACGTTCCACACTCTGCACAGAGGGCCGCAGAAACTGGGTGAGATTGCAGAGTGTGCTACTTGCATGAAGAGCACGACGTGCTTGTGTGAGTGTGCGTGTGTTTGGTTTCCAGCCAGGGCTTTTCCACGTGTTACGCGACTCCGTTTGAAGCGTATGTTGCAACAGAGGGAGACCAAAGATGACATCTTTGGTCTCAGCAACAACAAACAGTGCTGTGCTAATCCTGTGCCAACTGCGCCTCCTTCCAGTCCTCCCTTCAACCTCCTGCACGGCCAAACAACCGCGTGTCTCCGGCGCTGTGGGAAAGGAAGAAGCCGAGGGCCGGCAGCACCCAGACACCCAATGCGTGATATATAGGCACGAGAGGAAAGGCAGCGAAAGGGGACAATAACAGTTTCACAGGGAACTCAGGCCATAGGTCACCGTTTTGGGACAGCTTTTCAGGGGAAGCCAGGGGAGCAAAAACAGGAATGCCAAGAATAGAAACAGCAGAAAATAGGTTAGAAGCAACTGGCTAAAGCCCCTTGGACACGCCATCATGTCTCACACGACAGCCTGTTTTGCTTTCCATGACAAAGACGTAATGGGACTTTCTAGTCGTATGTACTCACAGAGGGAGGCTGGGTGAGCACAGGAGAAAGAAAAAGGAGACTGAGGGACAGACCAAAAAGAACGTACGAAAGGAGTCTCACAGAGGGATTAGCTTCCTGTTTACAGAGAGTACAGTAACAGAGCAGCAGGTGGTGGCGGCACAAACCAGACACACACAGAACAGACTTAGCCCAAAAGTTTCCCCTCTATCTTGGTGCATCTAGAGCCTTGGGATTTATCATGAGGTCCGTCTCCCCGGCGTTCCCTCCACGTAAGTGGATAAAACCAATCAATACTATCATGACATCCATCCGACGGTAAATCTCTTCCTTTATGAGAGGAGGTGTGTGTGTGTGTGTGTGTCGAGCCACATTCCTCATATCACGCCACACTCTGAGACCATCCACATTTTAGCGGTTCACTCAAATGCAAAAGGTTGGATTTAAATCTCTCTCTTAAGCGCACAGTGCTCAAATATTATGTTTCACTACGAAACACACACAGTGCAGAGCTAAAGACGGTCTGACTAAAGAGCCGCGTGCTCGAACGCTGCCGGCAATATTCTCAATCCAAGAGAGCAGCATGCCGTCCCCTCCTCCTCTGGTGTAGTGGCATATTGTGGGATTAACACATTTTCTCTCCAACAGAAGCTGGTATTTAGTTGGATGAGTCGCACACTGCATTGAACTTTACTTTCTGTGTGGGACTAAACAAAAAAACTGGGTAAATATTTTTGAATGAATCACTGCTTCGGTATCAGTTAAATAAAGCGATATTATTGAAGCAGACATCAAACAGTGCTCGTTGGCAGCATGAATTCATTCATTCATAAACTTCCTGTTCTTTTTCGCACTCTATCCTCATTAACTTTCTATTCTTCTATTATACTGATGGCCCAACTATAAGTAGGCCATCTAGCTTCATTAAGACGTCATAATCATTTCAAACTTCTATCACTGTGGCTGTAGACCATTCAAATAAGGCCGGCTCCACACACACTTTTAGGCATTATATTTTGAATATATTTGGCTAAGCACAAACAAAGAAAAATGGCTACAGTGACCAAAATAGCTAGCACCTTGTTTCAGGGCACGTGGAAACCTCAATCAAGTCAAAGTAGAGCAGCACTCTACTTTGCGTTTGTGTAAATCATGTTTTTAGCCCGGCGCGTCCCCCTACTGTAAGTACACAGGCAGCATCCTGCTGCTCTCTCTAAAGAGCTGCAGCCACACTGACCCACATCCCGGCCTGTAGCAGCTTACACTGAAGCACATACGACGCACACGCACACACTCCTAAGATACATGAGCGCAGTGTGCGCGTCCCCGACGTTGGTGGCTCGTGGAAATGCACTTTCCGCACACACGCCGTCGCTCACACACTCGGGAGAACACAATGGGCCCAGTGTTGTGCGGCCAATCAGCCGTGAGTTGATATGGGTATTGGAGCGATTAGGCCGGAGCAACTCCGCTCAAAGGCCCCTCCGACAAACAAACACGCACATGCAAACAGACACTCAAAACGTAGCGGCTTGGTAGGAGATAAGCGCTCAGAGACGGAGGGCGTATACGCGAGACCCGGAGGCGAGTGCTGTGCCCCGGTCAGGGTGAGCCCGGGGCGGGTTGCTCGCCGTGTCCCACGACTAATGACAGAGCGGCGCTCTGCGCTCCCTGCCCTCCGCCGGCGCTC